AGTGGAAACTGAGGTCTCAGATTTTTTTCTAAACGAAAAAAATAACCTCAGTGGCAACTGAGGTCTCGGATGTTTTTCTAAACGAAAAAATTAGCCTCAGTGGCAACTGCGGTCTCCGTTTTTTTTTTTTTCTAAACGAAAAAGTTAGCCTCTGTGGCAACTGAGGCCTCGGGTTTTTTATAGACGAAAAAATTAGCCTCAGTGACAACTGAAGTTTCGGGTATTTTTTCTAGACAAAAAAAATGGCCTCGGGTTTTTTATAGACGAAAAAATAGCTTCAGTGGCATCTGAGGCTTCAGATTTTTTCCTAGACGAAAAAATAGCCTCAGTGGCAACTCAGCCTAAGATTTTTTTCCTAGACGAAAAAATAGTCCCAGCGGCATCCGAGGTCTCCGGTTTTTTTAGACAAAAAAAAAACATCAGTAGCATCTGAGGCCTTGAATTTTTTTCTAAGCATATTAGTACAAAATTATAAGGGGAAACGACGGCAGGATTCGAGTGCGGCTCTGGGATCCTTTATGATATGTCACCACATATGACTTCAAGCTGTTTAATTTAAAGATTTAGCTTCAGCGTTTCGTCAGGCTTTGATTTTCGGTCAGTCAATCTGTCAGTTATTTCACTACTCTTTTATATATAGGTTGTACGTCTCCCTACAGGCCGTGGATTTTTATTTTAAATAGTTTTTTATAACATTACTGGCAAATAATCGTTAATTTGACATGATTACTGTTATGCTATAAAAGAATCATATACATATATTAAGTTAAGCTAATGGTCACGGGCAGAGGATGTATATATCTTTCGGCAAACCGACATATTATTATTAACCTGTTTCCAACAATTATTAATATTTATCACCATACTTACAACATTGTTCTCTTGGAATACATTTCTGTTGCAGATTTCGAGCATAATTCGATTGACAATAACATCCCGGCTGTGGTCGTTCTCTGGACAAGGGGCATTGACGTTGCAAATCCTGACAATTGACATCGCAGATGGGTGAAAGTGTGGAATTATAATATGTTTCATAAAATTGACATTGAGCTGAGCGGAAATGATCATAAAAACATAAGGTTTAACAATTATAATTAACAAGGATTCACAAACACACACTCATTCACTCACTCACATAAATGCGAATCGATTAAAATTCGATTCCATTTTTATTTGCTTGGAAAACTCATCTATCGAAAACTCACTCCCCCACTTTCTCACTCACTCACCTTTCATGGGGATTATACGAACGGAATTTATAACAGCCAACGAAATGAATATAAAAATCATGTTTACTTTGCAGCTTGGTTTTGCATCGATACGAACGAACACCTGAGCTTTAACTGCCACAACACCCTGGCCGTTAGCTCGAGGTTGATAATATTTATTATTTTATACCAACAATAAGACTTTAATAGCCGGTAGGTATTGCATATATGGCTGGATATTGGGGTAATTTATTATTTATTGTTTATTCTGGTGGCGTGAATATTTATTGTCGAATAGATAGAGAATGAATAAAGGCAGAGGAGTAAAGATGGCTATTGAACGGAACAGTTTAAGCAATCTATTTAATTTGTAAATAAGGAAGAGTAAAATACAATGACTGATGATAAGACAATTATAAAAGGAGAATTTAATTTGGGAGTTTTAAGACTTAAAATTTTAAGAAGTAAAAATCCCAAATCGTAAGAATGAGTTCATCAAAACATCTAGAAAACCAAATGCAAAACAGAATTTGCTTTATGAGATTATATTTTCAGCTTTTTTTGAAAATTCTGTACCTTTTGAACTGTCAAATATATTGTTGGACTGGTAACATTTTATTTTTATTTCATGAAAATGGTTTTTTATACCTTTTTAAAAAAATCATTAATAATTTTTAGAATAGAGAATTTTTAAAATATATAAAGTGGTTGCCTCGTCGGCTGAGGTAAGATTAGCTGTAACCAGGGTATCCACAAGGAGCCACTAAACCTTCAGAAACAAGAAAAGTAGATTTCTCCCTTTCCTGGTGGTGTAAATCAGATGTTTTATTGATTTAAATAAGAAACAAGTAAAAAAGCTGTAAGTTCGGCCGAGTCGAACTTTGAATAACCTCCACCATTTCGAACAAATTTTGCAATTTTCAAAAAAAAAACCTTAAAAAATTCTGTTAAAATCTTAAATGTACCGAATGTAATCTTTACATTAGGGTCTATACCACGACGCGGACCTGCATAGACAACATTTGTCATAAACCATTAAAATACTCAAGGGCGAAACTAGAAACAAATTCGGCGAATAAGGTACCTAAAATCATCAAAATACCGAAAATACAGGGTGAGATAAAAAAACAGCAACAAAGTCAAACGCCATAATTTTTACATTTTTATTTTAATTTTATTGAATGAAAGCAAAAAATTTCGGAAATAGCTTCAAATTTTAGAATAAGTTTAGATTTGTTTAAATTGGTCACCTTTGGCACGAATTATGGCCAATGAAACCGTCAGACGCTGCCCGAATGTTGCTCTGCCGTATTTTGGCCCATTCCCGGTAAAGCTTGAGGTGAGGTGCTTTGGTATTTTTTAGTGCCAACCTTGCTTTTCAAAATACTCCAGACACAAAAGTCCAACGGAATGGTATCCGGAGATTTTGGTGGCCATTGTGCGCTGGAAATGAAGCGAGGAACCTAACTTTGTAATCATTCTTGGGTGGCGCGTGCTGAATGCGATGGTACTGAGTCCTGTTGGAATGTCCAAGGTATGCGGCCAAAATGTTTGAGTGCCCATGGCTTTAATACGATCTCCAGAATATTTTCGCCATGATATTCGTCATTTATTCTGATGCCACGGTCGATTAATACGAGCGGAGAGCAACCATCGGCTGTTATGGTAGCCCACACCATCAACATGGCTGGTGCTTGAGTTCTGGTGGGCAACCCAAGGTGCACATTTTCAGCTGACCTCTTTGGCAAGTAAACACCATCATTTTGTTCGTTTACAAACTGCTGGACATCGAATGTTTTCTCATCGGAGAAAACCAAATTCGGCAGTTCACCACTTTCAGTCAAGTGAAGCAACTCTTTAACTCTTTTCTGCCTATTTTCTTTCCGTTGCGCCGTAAGTTCTTGCACTTTGTGGAATTCAATGGTAAAGCCAGCTCAGCCGAGCTCATTTTTTTAATATTTGCCGAATGGAATATTGCGATATGTTCAGCTCACGAGGCATTTTTCGGCTACAGCGACGCGGGTTTCGATCAAGTCGCTTCTTTACTTTTCGAACCATTTCTGCTGATTTTGCTGTTTTCTTCCGTCCACTTCCTTGACGTCGGGCTACACTACCAGTATCACGGTAACGAGCGATGGTACGAGAGACAAAAGATTTATTCACATTTAAATTCTGGAGTGCTCTAACGATAGCCACTTGTGGGTTTCCAGCCAAATATAAATAAATCATTATTTCAAGTTTCGCATTTGAATATTGTAATGGCTTATAACAAAAGTTGCCTATGCAGTTTCACGTCGTCGTGTAGACGCTATTATAATGGCTACATTCGTGTATTTTGAAAGTTTTGACAGAATTTTTATCGGATTCTATTTTTTTGAAAATTGCCAAATTCATTTCAAATTGTGGATGGTATTCAAAGTTCGGCCCGGCCGAACTTACAGCTTTTTACTTTTTTTAATACAATGAGGGTTTTTGATTGTTTTTATACTCTCTACTAACGATAAATCCATTTAAGACCCCACAAAGTACATAGTGGTGTCTGTGGTGTCTGGTGTCCGTCTGTCTGTATATAGACACTAGCTTCCCAACGAAATGATGCATGTTGATAACATTTCACTACGAAGTATTTTAGGTCAATAAAATTTTTTAGATTTTAAATGGGTCTTATAGGTTTTTAAATGGGTCATATATGTTTTGTTATAGTCCCTAATAAATAAAATAAATATATCTACAGATTTAAGGTGTTTGGACGTTTTAGTCAACATTTTAGTCCGGTATGTAGGAAACTTCCTTGCATAGAACTGTCTGTATGGCTCTTAGTTTTGGTATGGTCTCCATATAACTGCACCTACAGATATAATTTTGATTATTTTGTGTCACACTTTTTACCGGAACAATTTCAAATTTTGAGCTCGCATTTTAATATAACCCCATTGTGTTTGGAAGTTCGAAATACGGCTCACCTTCTCTGCAAATAATTTGCCATTTGCATATAGCCACTATAACTGAAAGATATTTCTATACCCTCCACCAGTTTTGCTTTGTCATTCGTTTTGTAATTCCTCGAAATATTCATGACCCTACAATGTATCAGCGTAAAATTCTAAAGCGATTTTTGATGTCCGTTTTTTGTGATCACGCTATCAGTCGAACGAATTGAGATAGAAGGCTACAATATTTCCAGTAGCCAGGTGAAGTTCGGAAGTGGGACATGTCGGTTCACTTCTTCGTATAATAGTATATTATTCACCGGAATTGTATCGACAGAAAATTGTCCATGTAGGTCGAGGTCTTCATATATCCCTCAGATAACCGGTTTCCTTTGCGCGATATTTTTCGACTGATTTAATTTTTAACTTTTTCAAGTTCCTTCCTTCCGTAGCTTCTTTTTTACTTGTTAAAATTATGGTGGCTTTTTTCAACGGTTTTTTTTATATTTTTCATGTTCCTTCCATATGGTGGAGGATATAATAAGTTCGGCCCAGGTGAAGTAAGCTGATATTTTACTTGTTATATTTATTCCTCATTAATAGAAATATTATATTGGAGATACTACATATATTTTTATAAAAATATCTATTGAAGATATAGGAATTACAATATCTAAGACCCTTCATGTCATACGGACCTCATATTATATAACTCAAAGAGAGCGTAGGGAGAGTTCAATTGGGTAAAATCCTTGTACTTTGAAATCTTTATATCAGATAAACGTAAGGAGCGAAAATCTCCAATATCCTTATACCTCCCCCTAAAAGGCAGAATGAGATATACAGACCCAATCCGGCAAACTTGTTTTTAAAAAATGTTGAACTTTATTCAATTTATTTATGAAAAGAATATGTCTCAAATATTCTAAATTCTACGACATGCATTTCCAGAGCGACAGCATCCCGATGGGCAACGAATTACACTTTCTGGCCGTCTAACTGTGTGGCATATTTGCAGTGGTGGTCTTCCACCCGCAGCACAGAATACATGGCAAACTCTTGACCCGGCCGCAACACGTTCTATTCTACGGGGACATGTCCTCTGGGCTGAAGAAGAAGTTTGATAGAAATTTAATAAATTTTAATTCGAAATAGATAGGACTTAATTACCATTTGCCACCAACAAAATTGACGAGACAATTATTGCTATGATCGAAATATAAGTGGTTTTCATGTTGAATGCAGGTTGAAACAATTTTTTGGAATAAAGTTTGCGATTGTAATTTTCAGTTTATATAGCAATATATGATGTTTATCAGAAACATATGTTTTATAAAAATATATATTTGCAAAAATATAGCATTTACCTTTTAATAAATTGTAGCTTTATTTTGCATATTTATTTAGGTGATTTAATTGTAATGATCAAGGAAGTGTTTAAAGGAAGTATACTCAATTTTATTTGTAAAATGTATACGAAAATATCAATATATATTTATTGAAAACAGTTCTTATATTTTCATGACATTATTTATTATTGTATTTTTCCATATTGAAGATACATATTTGATATTCCCAAATAAAATGTATTGACACAGGTTTTAAATGTATGTTGCAATATATTAATGATGAAAAAGATGGAAAAATATTAATATTTTGGGCAAAAATTCCTAACGGAAATAGACCCTAGTGTCAGGAGTGTCTAAGAGCCATCGAGCGAAGTACCAGAATAAATGAATTGAATGTGATACATTTTGAATCTAGGTCTAGAGGTGTTACACAAACTTGACCACTTATCCAAAATTTTGATCATTTGCGGAGGGACTTCCAGAAGTGGCGTTGTTGTTGATGTTTGCGTCTCACCGATATCTGAAATAAATAAATAAAGAATTCCAGCAAATCTGATACCTACTGTGGTTTAAATGATAGCTTAATATCATCGTAGCTCTTATAATTTCAGACCTCCGAGATACGTCTTTTATTTACTCGTGTATGATGTGTTGTGATCAGAGCTGCCATTTTTGCCATTTACCGGCATTTTGGCGATCTTTCACATTAAAAATGAGAAATGCCGATTTTCCGATTTTTGCCTCAAAAATGACGATATTCTAACGATCGACAAAAATCGTCTAACATTTTAAGTAATATCATAAAACAGGACGTTGTAAGTGATAATATTCATAAAACAACACGTTCTAAGAGATAACATTTATTTAACTGACTTTATGGACACCACTTGTATACCCTCAGTTAATGCCTAGTCGAAATAATAGGCACTTTATTTCACTATTTCACAAATAACAATAGATCTCTTTGGACCAAATTCGTTTCAGGGCATTTGGAGTCGATCTAGCGATGTCCGTCCGTCCGTCTGTCTGTCTATATGTCTGGCTGGCTGGTGCGAACGATAACTCTCGAATTCGGTCCAAACTTGGTACATTGTAATATTTTTGTCAAACTTACATCGAGTTTGGAGATGGCTAATATCGGTCCACTCCTTCTGATACCTCCCCCACAAAAGGTCGCAATTTTCAACAAAAATATTTTACTGCACAGAAAGAGAAAGGATAATCCAATTTTGCTCCAACTTTGCAAATCCTAATATTTGCATCAGTGCTAGGTCAGGTTCACTCCACCAAGTACCTCCCCAAAAAGGGACAACATGTTGTATAATTACATCTCTTATAAAATGTGATGTGAAAGTCCGATTATCTTTAAATTTCACATATCCCAATATTTTTATCAACCCAAGGTCTGTGAAAATGGGTCGAATATTAAAAAAAAATTATTTTCTGCACAGAAAGACAACATTAAGCCGATTATGCTCCAACTTTGCAAATGCTAATACTTTCGTCAGTTCTAGGTCAGGTGCGAAAATGTATAATATCGGTCCACTCCAAAAGGGTCAAAATTTTGAATAATAACAACTCTGAAAAATGTGATGTAAGTGTCCTATGGTCTTCATATTTCACACATCCAAATAATTTTATTAACCCAAGGTCCGGTGTTAATATGGAATACATCGGTCTACTCCTTCTGGTACCTCACCCACAAAAGGTCGAAACTCCCTACAAAGTCTCATCATTTTGAATATCAATGGAGGTCATAAAACGCGAAATTAGCACCAGATTCTCATTATATTTCACACATCCCATTATTTCTACAAACAAAAGATCTGTTGTGAAGATGGGATACATTGGTCCACTCCTTCTGGTACCTCCCCCACAAAATTTCAAAAGTTTGAATATCCATCCATCCAGCGAAATTAACATCCGATTCCACTCAAGACTTGGTACGTTCAATATTTCTATAAAAACAAGATCTGTTATTAAGATGGTAGAGATCGCACCATTACTTCTGGTACCTCCCCCACCTAGGTTGCAAAGAAAGGGAAATAAACATCAAACTCCCTTCAAATTTCGAACATACAAACATTTTTTCTAACATAAGATCTGTTGTAAAGTTGATATATGTCTACGTCTGGTACCTAACCCCCAAAGGGTCACAATTTTCAATGCTTTTATCTGTCATAACTTGCGAAAGAAGTCAGCGATTCTTTACAACTTGCTATATCTATGTAATATATGCGCACACTCTTAACATTTTCAAAAAATTAGCACGTACCTCATATAAAGTGAAGGAAGTAACCCATGCAGTCAAAAACTGACGCGTCGCAATATTTATATCATCCGATTCGAAATGGACAATATTGGCCATTCCTTCCAGACCTACTCCATAGGGTCAACAATTTCAATAATCATAACAGAAGTCAAAATATATTTAAATAATCGAACATTGGCTGAGAGTATACATCTGTCGACAAAACGACTAATATTTTCTAACTTATTTTTAAAACACTTTAAGGTTTTAGGTTATTATAAGGAAATTATTATACCCAATGTTCATATATTCATTTATTAATTTATTTGTATTTCCGTTTATTAATTTGAAATAAAATAAAAAAGCACATTCATTTTTTTTATACTTCCTTGTCCATGACAATCACACCAACTGAATAAATATTCCAATAGGTTATTGCAATTTAAAATAAATTAAATATAAAATATATTTTTTCACAATTAACCTTCAAAATTCATATTTCTGATGGCGGCAAAGCAGTGCTATATATAATAAAAGAATTGCAAAGCAGTGTATCATTCCTCAGAAACTTATCAGCTTATCTTCAACATGGCAGCCAATTGGCTTTCGATCATAGCAATAATTGTTTCGTCCATTTTACTGCTGACAAATGGTAATTACAGATTTTCGATTTTTGGTATAAAATTTAACTAGATAATTTCTTACAGCCCAAAGAACTTGTCCTCGAAGAACCGAACGTGTTCCGGCAGGTGCAAGAGTTTGTCATGTCTTGTGTGCTGCTGGTGGCAAGCCACCAATTAACTTGTGTCAAACAGTTCCACGACCAGGCCTTGTAATAAGCTGCCCGCCGGGATGTTGCCGCACAGGAAATCGTTGCAGGAGAGTTTAAGAAAACTGCATTATATAAAAAATCAAATTTTAACAAATATTGCAACTATTTAACTATAAGGAAAATGAATTTATAAAATATAAGAAATAAATAGAAAAATATATTACCTTAATATGGGTATGATCTGATATGATTTGATCTAGAGGAATTTCTTTGTATATAGTTTATTCTTTAAAGCCAACGTTTTTCAATCTACATTATTAAACAGGGAAGGAAAATAGATCTTTACCAAATTTGGCATGCTAGCTTCTGGACTCAATTCGGTCGCATGTGCCAAATTCCATCCCATTTGGGCAAATATTAGACGTTTGGTGCTCTATGGGAGCTATATCCAAATCTGAACCGATCTCGATAAAATTTAGCAAAGGTATTTCTGAGCTGTATTTGATATATTTCCCCAAATATTGTTGTTACAGAGTACATATTGCGGCTGCGGAAGACAAAAATAACAAATCGGATGAACAATATGTATGGGAGCTATAGCTATATCTGAAATGATTTCGATCAAATTTGGCATACTTATTTTCAGGCCTAATTTGATTGTATGTGCAAAATGCCATACTATTCCATTCCATACTGATATTACACGTTTGGTGCACAATAAAAGACAAATCGGACGAAGATATATATGGGAGCTATATCTAAATTTTGACCGACTATCTTAAATTTCAATAGGGTTCGTCCTTGGGCCAAACAAATGAGTTGTGCAAAATTTCATCTGGATAGAGCCATGTACTTTGTTTACAAAAATACATGGACAGACGGACGGACGGACAAGCATAAATCAACTCAGAATGTGATTCTATGCAGATCATCAAAAGGGACTATGGGTCTATCTCGTTTCCTTTTGCCTGTTACAAACAAATGCACAAAGACATAATACCCTGACCACCTTGTGGCGTATGGTACAAAAATCATTGAGGTGATAATCAAATGAGAATGAAGATTGTCTACCGATTTATACTACATTTATGAGTAATATCCATTTTGACATTGATGAGGGAGGTACGAAAAAATGGGTGGATATTTTCCATTTTGTCACCTAATATAAGATTTATAAAAGTATCATGTTCAGTTCCCATAATATAAATGATTTTTTAATTGGAACATGTTGAACTCTTGTGTAGGTGGTATCAAAAGGAGTCGATCCATATTTGCAAATGATCTAAAATTTTCATAAAATTTGAAGATAATAATCCGAGGGAAAGATATAAGAAGGTGTGGGTCGCTATTGTCTATTTTTACAAGATTTATACAAAGATTCAATAGTACGAAGTTTTAGTCAACCTACCTACAGCTTTCGACAAAAGATATACATTTTGAATATTTTGAAGTTTTTATGAAGTTAGCAAAAGGAGTGAAGCGATATTGGCCCGTCCTTCAATATACTATATGTGTTGGGTAATAACCTACAAAATCGAATATTCTAATCGAGAATTATTATTAAATACAGGGTCAGATGAAATAACTGCAACCAACTTCAGACTGCTGTCATTTCTAAGACACTCGTCCGACTGCTGTTAAAGTTATTCCAGTGACAGCTGATTATATTGTTGACAAGCGTACAAAAGCATTTTGGAGAGATTTTTTCAGAAAAAAGTTATCCGTGATGGAATTCAAGCGTGATAGTGTGATTTCTATATATTTGGCTGGAAAACCACAAGTGGCTATCGTTAGAGCACTCCAGCATTTATATGTAAATAACTAGTACTGATAGCCCGACGTCAAGGAAGAGGACGGAAGAAAACAGCAACATCAGTAGAAATGGTTCGAAAAGTAATGAAGCGACTTGATCGAAACTCGAGTCGCATTG